TTTCCTGACTGCTTGCTCTTTCTTGCAAACAGATCTCACTTGTTTGATGTTTGTCTTTAGTTCCTCTCTTGACAACTGCTTCTTAATGTTTGTCCAAAAGAAATACAACTGGATAATCACAGAGTCTGATGATCACAAAAACACAATAGAGTAAAATTTACTTGTTTCAGTTCTGAATTAGATATTCATTTGAAATGTTGAAATTTACTTTTTGGAGTCAGCTTGTTCTGTCTGTTAGCAAAATATCTCATGAATCACGGGATAAATTGTAATGAAACCTTCAGAATGTACTCGCCACATGCTAAATCCAATTCAATATAAACAACACAGCTAGATGGTTTTAATGAAACAGAGTACCTGGTTGAATGTGTGTGACTTACAGAGTAAGTTCTTGTGGGGAAAAACTCAAGGTCTTATGATCAGACACACAGGTGCTCACACACACAAAATTAGCACTTCAATGTGTCTTTGTCTAAAGCATAAAAATATTTAGATGGTAGTGTTGTAGTCAAGACCACCTACCCTGAGACCAAGTCAAGACCAAGACCAGAGTGTATCGAGATCGAGACAAGACCAAGACCAGGAAAAGAATTAGTGCCCTAGAACATACATTATACTACAGGTAGCTAACTTAAAACATTTAGCTAATACTGACTAAATCTCTTTGTGTGAGGGCTGGGTAAAAATATTTTGGAACAGAGACAGAGTGCTAATGTTAGCTAGCTTTGCTAACATCACAGGTGCTTCCTTTCTAAGTGACGTAAAGTCGTCCCCCCACCCTCCCGTCTCTAGAAATGAAGCACTGCAGGATTTACAAGTTGCTGTATGATTTCTCCTAGATTTTATTTTACAAATATATTATTTATGAAAATGATTTATGTCGGGGAGAGTCTCTGCCTCAAGTGGAGGAGTTTAAGTATCTGGGTGTCTTGTTCACGAGTGATGGTATGGAGCGGGAGATGGATCGACGGATTGGGGCCTTGTTCTTAGTAATGAGGGCGTTGCTTTGGTCAGTTGTGGTGAAGAAAGAGCCTGAGTCAAAAGGCAAAGCTCTCTATGTACTGGTCTATCTTCGTTCCTACCCTCACCTATGGTCATGAGGCGTGGCTCATGACCGAAAGAATGAGATCCCAGATACAAGCAGCTGAAATGAGCTTTCTAAGGCCGGGCTCAGCCTTAGGGATAGGGTGAGGAGCTCCGTCATCTGAGGGGAGCTCAGAGTTGAGGCGCTGCTCCTCCACATTAAAAGGAGTCAGTTGAGGTGGTTCAGGCATCTGATTAGGATGTCTCCTGGACGCTTCCCTTTAGAGGTGTTCCTGTCACATCCCACTGGGAGGAGGCCCAGGGGAAGACCCGGGACTCGCTGGAGGGATTATGTATCCTCTCTAGCCTGGGAATGCCTTGGGGTCCCCCAGGACAAGCTGGAAAGTGTCGCTGGAGAGAGATATGTCTGTGTTTTCCTCCTGGACCTGTTGCCTCTGCGACCAGATTATGGATAAGTTGAAGAAGATGGAGATGGAGATTATTTATGATTTATGTAGCCAAACTGTATTACTGAAGATCTTTGCTGACCTTTTCTCCTGCTCCCAGACAACCACTGCTCACTTTCTTGGAGTGAAAGGGGGGTAGATGGGTTGCAGTGTCTTGCTTAGATGTGAATCAGTGTGTTTTACATCCAATTAAAGCAAAGATTTAACAAATAAATTTGAAAATATTCTGGTAATTATAGATATTTCCACAGTTGTGGTCTTGACCGGTCTTGAAATGAAAATCTTGAGTCCTCAATGTCCAAGACTGAAACAAGACCGGGTACAAATGTGATCAAGTCCAAGACAAGACTATCAAAAAGTGGTCTTAAGACCAAGACCAATCTCGAGTGCTACAACACTACTAGATGGCAAAACCATTTTTGAGCAGGTTTCAAAGAGATTCCATTGATGGTGCCTAATTAGCCACTACCACACGTTAACTAACATCCAGTCCAGTTTCTATCGAGATGCTCAAAACATTCTCCATTGTTTCAAGTAGTTTTTTTAGAGCTGCAGCCTCATAACCCAAGACTTCTGTAAACTTTTTTACCAAAACATGGCATACCCATATAAAAAATATCAAAGTGTCTCAAACTCTGTGTACACACGAATCCAAGCACATTTCCTTTGTACATCAAAATCAGTGTAGAACTGAGTGCAGAGGAGACACCTTTAGGTATAAATATTCCCTGCATTGTGATTCACCGTCTACCCAATCAAAACTCCTGTCTACATGTGGAGAAAATACGATTTCCATCAAATGTGAGTCAGAGACATCTTTAAATAAAGTAGTAGGGCATAAAAAATTGTGTTTGGCACTTTGTCCCCTGGCATTAGCACCAAGTGCAAGACAGAGATATCAGGGGCTTGGTAGAACTTTATTTAAATACTTTTGCAGTTTTGTACACTCATGGAAAGTGAAGAGAATCTTTGATTAATTTGTAGGATGTCAAATTTTATAAATGTGTTTTTGTGACTGTGTTTCTTGTTTATCTGTCATCATTACTTGATTACTACAGCATCTACTCAGACCTCATAGCCTGAGACTTCAAATAGTTTAACAATGGCATCTTTTCCAGATTGTAGTGGTCACCCTGGGTGGAATAAACGTTCCACCTGCCTTTGACCTTGACCACGGAAGGCCTCCTTTAAAGAACAGAAATCTGTTCAATTTTTATGGTCATAACATGTTTTCTTAAACAATTAAGGGACATTTTATTTCATTTTATTCTCTATAATCA